GAGTTGGAGGTTGCTATGAGCTGTGATGCCACAGCACTCTACCCAGGGTGACAGCTTGAGGCTCTGTCTCAAAAAAAAAGTTTCTTATTTAAGATCAATAGTCCACCCTCTTTACTAGGATTTCTGCTGGCACCAAATATTGTTGAGTATATGAGGTTGGACAATTAAATTCACAAACTCATCCTAGAGAAAGTGCTGCATCTCACTGCCCAGTACCGCTGCAGTCAGTCACCAGATGGCCAAGGGCAGTCCTTCGAAGGTGACCGCAGGGATACTCAGCAATGAGCTCTGCAGCGCTTTTTCTAGGACGAGTCTGCAAACTTAATCATCCAACCTCTCAAGTGTCCCCAGGCCTCAAACTCTGTAGTCCATTTAAAATTATAAACAACGCTGGACTATTATCTATCTGGACTGTTTTTTGTAAGAGAAAGACTGCAGACGGGAATTTGTCCAGGTCGTTAGGACACCTGCAGCCTCCCCAAGCACAGCGAGCAGGATGGTGGTCTGCCGGGCCTTTGAGAAGGCAAACAACTGACGGTAAGTAGTCGGCCAGGTGCTCACACCTACGATCTCAGTGCTCTGGGAGGTTGCGGTGGGAGGATCACCTGAGGCTAGGGGACCGGCCTGGGTAACACAGCAAGATCCCATCCCTACAAAAATCTTAAAATTAGCTGATCATAGTGGTGGGTACCTGTCACCCCAGCTACTCAGGAGGCTGAGGCAGGAGAGTCATTTGAGCCTAGGCATTTGAGGCTGCGGTGAGTTATGATCACAATACCACACTTCAGCACAGGTGATAGAGCAGGACCTTACTTCAATCAACCAATCATAAATTAATTAAAGTGGGGGGGGGAACAGCAGGAGAAGGAAAGAAAGGGTGTGCAATAAATAGTGGGGCACAGGGACAGCTTTATTGAGGTGTAATTGATAAATAAAAATTGTGCATATTCAAAATGTGCAGTGCGATGTCTTGATATAAGACTACATAGTGAAGGACAGTGCCTGTGCTCAGTGGGTAGGGCGCTGGCCCCATACACCAAGGGTGGCAGGTTCGAACCCAGCCCTGGTCAAACTGCAACAACAACAAAAATAGCCGGGTGTTGTGGTGGCTGCCTGTAGTCCCCAGCTACTTGGGAGGCTGAGGCAAGAGAATCATCTAAGCCCAAGAGTTGGAGGTTGCTGTGATGCAAATGTACTCTACCAGAGGGCAACAAAGTGAGACTCTGTCTCCAAAAAAAATAAAAATAAAAAAGAATGCCTAGTGAAACGGTTCCCACATTCAAGCAAATGAGCATATCTTACCCGCCCTGCCTTTTTTTGTGTGGTGAGAACCTGTACGGTCTGCTCCCTTGGCCAATGTCAAGTACACAATACAGTGTTCCTCATTGTGGTCACCACACTGTAGGGCGGGTCCCTGGGACTTAGCATGGATGACCCTGGAGGACCCTGCTTGAAGAAATAAGCCAGGCACAGAAGGGCAATAGCAGTGATCTCACTTACAGGTGGAATCTGAAAAAGTTGAAGTCAAACTGTAGAACTGTGATCTCCAGGGCTGGAGGAGGTGGGTGGGGGGATGGAGAGATGTTGGCCTAAGGGTCTAAACTTGTTGACACGTGGGTGTTCTGACACTTGAAAGACCATGTCTGAAAAGCTGTCATGGTGGTGGGTACCTGTCACCCCAGCTACTTAGGAGGCTGAAGCAGGAGGGTCATTTGAGCCCCCAAGCAAACCATTCTCCCTGGAGTTCCTAAACACGCCCTTGACCTCTGGGCCTTTCCTCCCGGGAAGTTTGTCACCCTCCCAGTACATTTGTTACCCTGTCCTCAGCTCCCTGTAGGCAGCTCTCCTGTCAGGATCCGCTCTGGCCATGTGGCCATGCAGAGGTCTGTCCGAGGGACAGGAACACTGCCGGAAGTGGAATCAACAGACTGCCGCGTGGGGAGTATGAGCTTTGCTTGTGGTCAGGGGAAGGGGACAGATACCTCTGAGACCCATGGGGCACACGGAGGGGTCAGACACAGCTGCCCCTTGTCAGAGGAGAAGGCAGGGAAGAGACCTGCTTGCTGGACTAGAGGAAGAATTTGAAAGCAACCCCAGGAGCAGCGGATCTCAGGAGCTTGCCGGTACCATGAGTGACTCTGTGGGCAGCTCCCAGAAAGCAAGTGCGGTGGGAGAAGCTGCTTCTCCCCGGGAACCTTGTAGAGAACACTCCTCTGAGGACCTTCCATAGTAGTTTTTGGACTTTCATGTGCAAAAGAATTACTCAGAGAACTTGTGAAAATCACAAATCCCAGCTTGCCTGCCTCCAGCCTGGCAGAGATTCCAATCCAGTGGGTCCAGGGTGGGGCCTAAGAATTCATATTTGAAAAGCTCCCTCCCTACCCATCCTTTACATACACACACCCCCACCTCAAACTCCCCTAATGTGCGGCCAATATCGGGCACTCAGCCATAACAGTCATTATCTGGGGCAGGGGTTAGGGAGCACAGGTATCCTGCAGATTGTAAGGTCACACCTCAGCCCTTATAACCTCCTCAGGGCTTCACAGGTCAGCCTTCCAATCTCCTGGAAGAATTATTTGGTTTCTGACATCAGTCTTGTCCCTGTCCTAAAATCCTTTTTTGGAAGTAGGTAGGAGGTTAAGAGTTTACACCATATGGCTCAGCACCTGTAGTTCAAGCAGCTAAAGTGCCACCACACACACCAGAGCTGGTGGGTCCAAATCTAGACCG